CAATTTTCTGCCTTTTCCGTCGCTCCTCGTTTTGTCTGATGTGTTTTCAGTCGCTTAATTGTGCGTGCCATCGACAACAAAGAACCTCCGACTAGCTGAGTGGCTGGCAATCACAGCCCACAGTCACAGTCCGTGCGAATCCGCAACTGATCCCTTTGACACTTCACCCGCGTGCACCTCCGTCTGCTGTAGGTGATTTGAGTTTTTGTTTTCCTATTTTCAATGGAAACTACATACAAATTGGCCATCGGCTTATGTCGTTCGTTTCTTTATCGCTTTTGAAAGCTTATTTAAAAGCCCTTCTGATTGTGTTGCACATGCAAGGATAAGTCAAACAACTATGCTTGTTCTGCGAATTTGAGAATTGGACAATAGAGAATTTTTATATTTTGCTTCAATATATCTCTCCCGGATGCCTGGAGCCCAAGAAATCTTATCTATAACCTAATTCCATTTCCATTTATCGATTTTCTTACAATCCGTGGGCACTAGGTCGTCCCATTTGATGCAATTGACCCTTTTTTATTACTTGCTTTTTCTCTTCCCATTCTTGAATAGAGGAAATAAACGAGCTTAAATGCAATTCTCACTCTCTTTATTTAGCTGCCATTAATATCATGTTTTTCTTTCTCTTACTCCCTTGGTTTGCATTTTATGCACATTCCATGCAAGGACGAATCTCATACCGTATGCATCTACATATCTTATCCCAGACAATTCCACACAAATTATTCTAAGTCCACAAGCATTTAGCATAAATTTATAGTGTGGTCCATTTGCCACACTTTGATATAGAGTCAACTGACCGGACAATCTCCAACAAGTTCATTTGGCCAGACCACTTCAAACAAACCACAGAAGCAGCTGCTTCCGCTTCTGTCCCTGTCCTTGTCCCAGACGAGCTCATTAATTTTGCTCAACCAGAAATGAATAATGATATGGTCCAAGTGGTTAGTATAGATGAAAGGGAGAAAGCCGAAACAAAGCTTAAATTCTTGTATGATGAAGCCAAAAATATGCACTTAAAACTACACACAGGTCATAAGACACTTTAGGACTCTTTTTGGCAAGGATTTTAGTTGCAGCCTGGGTATGTTGGTGTCTATGCAAAATTGTTTTCCTTTCTGGCTGTTGAGAGTTCAGATAGTATGTTTTTGGCGTTGCATGTGGGGTTCAAGAAGCAAAACACATAACATACAAGCTGCAACAATTTTTCATTTTGACTTTCTCTTCAACCATCTGCCGCCCCTCATCAGCATATACATCCAGTTTCCACTACCCAATTACAAAACTTTTTCAGCTTTTTTACAATTTGTTGTGTTTCAGTTTTTGCATTGTTTGTTTATGCCCCTGCTGTATATTTTTGTTTGATTTTCAGCTTGTATTTTTTTTTCAGCTGCCACCTCAGCGCATTTAAACTTTTTACGGTCAACTAGGGGTATGAGTGTTGTCCAGACTATTTGAAGGCTTCTTCGGTTCAGATGCTGTTCTCTGCATGTTTTACTCTTTCTTTCCTTTTCGTTTGCTGTTTGCCATTTGCCGCTTGACCTGTCTTCGGTCTGGTGCTCCTGATCGACCACCGCCCAACTCTTTTAATGGGCCTATAAACTATTTTTCAATTCGCTTGTATGACTTGGGTTGGTTTTGAGGGTACCACAGTGAGGCCAACTTAATTGTCCATAAACTAAATTTTATAATTTGAGGTTGCTTATTTTTGTTTCAAGATTGCAATGAGAATCCAGTGACAAGTTTCTGCAGTATATGAAGCACTTCTTTGCACCTATTATTTCACACTATAGCTTAAATTTATTCGATGATTTTTGCTGATAACCTAGTCAGAACAGCTTAATATCTGAATGTTACAATTGAGAAGTGAACTCAAAGGTATTTCAGTTGTCAGAGTTATAGCTAAACTTCGAAGTGGCGAAATCGATTTATATCTTTAGCGTTCCATTTCAACAGATTTCGACCATCCCTTTTGTCTCACATCAACTTGCATCACACAAAAAACCAACTTGATTGCTCCACACTTTCAACTTTCGCTAACCCGACAGCCAATGCAGGAAATCCCCTCTGGTCCACACTCCCAACTTTCTACAACTGATTGCAGCCAGCTTCCGTTTGTTGCCAATCCCACGCACGTCCTGGCCATAAAGCGCAGTGCACTAAGCCAATTTCAGAGTGTTTATAATTGAAACTTGCCAAGAGCATCGCACAATAAAGTCGGGAGTGAAAGAAATGTTGAAAGGGAAAAAAACATAACAAAACTAAAGCAGAGCAGGTGCACAAACTGGGCTATAGGTAAGTCCGTGTTCAAGTCATTTCCCCCGAAGCGGATATAAAGCGATTTGACTTGGTGACAACATCATTTCCGCAGGGCGTGGCTGTGTAGGCGAAGCAGTGTGAAGTGTTTAGCGGGGACAAAGAATAATGAGCACTTAAATTGCTGTCATTAATAAGGCGACTCACAGAGTTGTACAGTTTAAAGCACTGTTCCATTTTGATAAACTGCTCAACATTGACTACGTGCTCCTGAGAAGCGCAGAGAGAGACAGAGACAGAGACTTAGAGCCTGTCATAGGGTCAGGTAAGATGAGGCAGAGAAGAAGAAAAATATAAAAATGAAAAATTAGCTGGAGAAATGGAGTGTCCCATCCTTTTGACGAGTGGAATATTATGTAAAACAATCTAAACGATGTCAAAAGTTTTGAAAGGTAAAACATGGAAAAGCCAATGAGATTTTATTTAAAAGAATTTGTTGCTTGTTGGCAAAGTTTGTGGTGATTTGTATTCCGTTTCTTCAAAGTTTATTGGGCGCCTGCAAAAAGTTTATCCACAACAGCCAAGGTAGAATTATGTTCCAAATAAATCATCTTTAATAGACTGTGCTTATATGCAAAACGAGAAAAGGGCTGAAGAGAAATTACCAACCGCCTTCCCATATTTTGCCTGTAAATGAAAGGGAGTTGTGATGCAAACGAAAGGGAAGGGATAACAACAACAGGAAGTGCTCAACTTGACTCACAAATTTGCATTGTGTGAATTGCTTCCGTTCTGTTTCGTATATTGCCAGCCGCGTCAAGGGGATGTGCCAAATCCTGAGATATGCCAAGACAAGGCAAATACACGAAACAAGCAGGAAGAGAAATATCTGTAATGGGGCTGTCCGCCTCCTTGGACCACATTTCTCTTGTCATTTCTTGGTTGTTTTAAATAAATTACGAGGCTTAAGGATTTATGTTCTTCTAGACTTCCAGGAGTTGGAAACAACAGGCGAAAACCTTAACCATCAACTTTGGTATTGTCACCTTATTCGAGCAAAGTGTCGCAGAATGAGACATAAAATGCAGCCCTTGCTGGAAGTTAATGAATTTTGGTCTTGAATAATTATTTAAATTTGTGTGCTTTTTATTGGGCTGCCTTTGTTTCAATTGCTTTGTTCACTTTTTGTCTGTAAGAAAAGAATGTTCTGATTTCTTGTTTTGGCGTTGTTTTGACTTTTACACAATATTCACCCTTGATTACGACTTTAATGATTTCTTTTGAATCGGGATTTCTATAAACACACTTGAAATGAAACTAGTTAACTAATTACCATCTATCTGTAGATTTGTGTATCTTTACGCGCATCTTTATATAAACATAGAAGATGAACAAGTTCTTACAATAGAAATGCTTCTCTTCTGAAAACATTTCTTTGGGATTTTAAGTATTGTGAAGAATTCAAAGTATTCTGTATTGTTCTCCAGAAATATTTGAAGGCAGTTCCTCGTTACACCCACGACTTTCAAAGTTTCTACAGTCAATGGGCAACTAATTATTTACCTTATTTATGAGAGGCCGCAAAGCTGTTCAGTTAATATGAAAAGCAGATGCCAAAAATGTGCCATTAATTCTCAATTAATTTGTTGTTATTTCCTATTGTTTACGCAAAGTGGGGGAAATAGAAAGTAAAATAAGCTGGCTGACTTTTGTTCAGTTGAGTGCCTAAGGCAGAGGAAAATAAATTTTCTGTGGCACTGGAATTTCTTTTCACTTTATTTACGTGGCAATGAATTCACCTTGACGAACCTGCCGGGCAAATGGCCCACGCCTCCTTAAAGTGGGATCCGGATATTTGCATGCAAATCAAGGCACTGCATCAGCATAAGAGTAAGCACATAATCTGATTCCAGAAGCGAGTGCGCCCAAACAAGATGAAGCATGAGAAAGCCATATTTGCAATGTGTATGGCCGATGGACCAGCAAAGGGATAAACTGGGTTCTCTTTAATCCAGAAATGTCAACATACCCTCCTTGTAAATAAAAGTTTTCAGAGGGGACACACACTTCTGCCTCTGCATGTGAAAATTAATAAAAGGCGAGTGTAAACACCGAACCAGGCACTGAACTGTTTTAAACAACCTCTGCACTCTAAACTCGGCTTCGTTTTTATTTAGTTTTCTTCTTCTTAGCCAGGGGACGGTATGTCAGCGTTTAGGGGCGTGTACCTGTGCGTGTGATGTGGTCCCAGCACTCACATACACACAGATGAGCCCTAAATTAAAAATTCGCCAGGTAAATATTTATTTAGCTACAAATAAGCAGCAAGGGCAAGCAATAAGAGGGACCCTATAGCAAGGGAAAATTAAATTTAAGTAAGGACAAAACGAGAAAAACTGATAAAGTCTTGAGTCCTTATAGAGTGCAGATGTCAGACTTAGGTTTCTAGAACGTTTGTAAAAATTGCTGTTCTTCTCAGGCTTCCAAGAAAATGTGAAAAACTCTAGGGACCGATTGCTTAAATTGTTTATAACGTTCTCGATTCCAGTTTTCCCGAAGGCCCACCCAGGGGGAGTTTTATGGCGCCGCCATAATTTTATATTTTTCAATTTTTATTATTCAAACAAAAACCACACGACAAGCAGTTTTTCCATTTCAATAATTTGTGATTTTATGACGGGCAGGGGACTGCCAGCCTAAAATACCGTATTTGACTTCTCTTTGGTTTTTCTTTGCAGGCACCGCAGGGACTCTGGGAAAATGCATTAGACGAGCAAGGCGAAATACTTGGTATATATAATTTATCAAATTATTACTGAAGGAGAACAGAAATTCGAGGCGTGGCTACTTGGACAGGGCAAACATTACACAGCAAAGCGAAGCGAGTGAATTACAAATAATGCCATTTCCTTGTGAGTCTGCGTGTGTGTGTCAGGGTGGGGTCATCTGAACGACAAGAAGTCAAGTGTGGCAAATGACAGGGGCTTATGTCTGTTTCCTTTGCAGATTTCAGGCTGTCAGAAGCAGGAGGTATGCATAACTTTAGGCGCTGCAGCCCTTCAAGGGGCCACTTCCACTACCAGCCATCGCTCAGAGATTCACATTGTTCCTTTAAAGTTTTTCACAAATTGACGGCATTTCCTGCTGCTGCAGCCAGAGAAAGCCCTTGTCCCAATTAGGTGACAAATATGCAATTTTCCAGCTGCAGCCTGCCCGGGTCCAGTCCTGGTGTGTGCAGCAATGCGTATTCAATAAATTTAAGCAGGAAAATTGCATTTAATTTGCATTAAATTTACACCATCAGCAGGAAGCAGCCAACGAGCGACAGGAAAACCAACGACACAACCAACTGCGGGCACAAGCAGCTGCAACATTTCCCCCTATAGCCCCCAAAAAATGTTGTATGTCTGCAGGGGTCGACCTGACGAATGCATGTTTGATGTATCTCAGCTCAGGGCAAGATTTGATTGTATTGGCCACTTGGCAGCTGTTGCTGGGTTGGATGGGTGGATTTTATGTTATTTAAGATATGCGAATTCCCAAGTAAAATAGTTCTCAATAATTATTTATTTCCATTTAATATTTAATTAATATTTCATTCATTATTATATGCGAGGTTATATTTCCGACAGACTCACAGGACACGCAGCCTAATTCCAATATTTAACACAGTTGATAAAATAAGCTATTAAAATGCGAATGCTCTTTCCCATTTCAAAGATACTGCCTGGAGATTTGTTTTCCAGTTCCCCAAGGTTCCTTGCTCTAATTCGTCCCCTGCCGGCAGTTAAAAGGGGGGAAATAAAATTTATGAGTTTTGATTTATTTGCCAGGCCCTGACGCGGCTATCAGCATGCAGTGCGTATACGTGATATTTTAAAAGCAAATTTCGTGATTTTGCCAACGAAGCAAATTACGCAACAAAGTTAAAAAGGTTAAAATAAACGGCTTATTTTGCATTCAATTTATGAAAATAAATTATATAAAGTAACCACAGTAGGTTATGTTTTAAAAATGTATTGTTACTTTTATTGTATTTGTATGCATAACTTATGTAGAATAATGAGTTGATCAGTTCTCGATAAAAGCTCATAGAATCGTTTCAAATAGCAAGGAAATTATACTATGAATGCTTGTATTGAAAAAAAGAGTAAACTTGCACAATTAAACATAAAAATATTGTACAAAATATAATTAAAATGTCAACTACTCTTATTTTGAAGATTCATCTGATAATCTGCAAGCTGCGTTGTTTCGCATCAAATTAGTATTTTGGGTCAGGTTGCTCATGCATTTTGGGAAGGTTGCGGCTTTTTATTGTTTAATAGTTAAACTTAACTTTTCACACATAATCATTTTATAAGTGAAACAAATCCAATTGCTAACTCTGTGTAGATGCTGTAATAATATCAAATCCTTATTGCTAATTACTACCTAATTCAGTTTAATCTCCTGCAATCATTTGAATCCGACCGTCTACAACGTCATTCGATTTCCGACCTTAACTTTCAACTTACCCAAGTCAGGTCTGCCGCAGCCTTTTAATCAAACTTTGCCTGGCTCCAGGCACAGAATTTTGTTCGGGTTGTGACTAAAATCGTGTTTGCCACACAACACACGCTTTCAATGTTCTTACCCCAAGTCCCCCTTTTTGCTTTTCATATTCCCTGTGCAATTTGGAACTTCTGTTTGGTTGGCAAATAAAACCGCATGTCTCTGTCATGGCTGTTGTTGTTTTCCTGGACAGGCCAGGCGGCATGCTTCAAAGAGCAGAGTCAGCTTAAAACGACAGACTCTCATTGCAGCTCCTGTCCAGGTTGGTTATGCAGTGTCCGGGGACGAGGACAGGCGTTTGTGGCTTGAACTGCAGCGCTGAGGGACCACAAAAAGTGTGATTTCGGGCGCATATGCACACATACCCATGACATAGGTGTCCGCTTGACAGTGTGTACCCCGATCAAAGAGGGCATTGACCACAAGGCCATCAACATGTAAAAGTGTCAATCATACGCCCCGTGGTACGTTCCACACGGCTGCTAACAACGCGTCGCGCCATTAGTGCTGTTATTATGATTATCGTCATTGTTGTCCCATTTTCCCGGGACGGTCCAACCCGCTTACCCTTCGCTGCAGTTTCCCTTCCTGCCACACAATAATGAAATATAAATATTGTGATAATGTCGCTGATGTTTTTGTTGTTGTCCTTGGTTATTTTTACGGTTTCTGCTGCTATGTAAAGCAGACACATAATAAATATTACTCTTGCCAGGTTGTTGTTGCCATCGCTCGTTGCAACCCACAAAAAAACAGCAAATTGAAATTTAATGAAATTTATTAATTTGCTGCATTTTTGATGATGTGGCAAAAATATTTTGTTGTCAACTTCAAATTGATCGCAAAGCGGTTGAATTTGCGTTCGGTGTAGAAAAAATAATGTGCATAATACACAAAGAATATATACTGAATTAATAACTCAGGTTGTTAAAACTCAAATTGAATATATTTTTAAATAAAATTAAGTTAAAAAACGTGTAAAATTAAATAAAGCTGCTTCGTCAAGCGGATAACTTCAAGGTTAATTCACACAGAGCCTGAAAACCTGCGAAACCTAAAGCTGTGAAATTTAACGCGTAAAACTTTTTGTGGCCAAGAAAATGTGGCTTAACAGGCTAAAATGGTTCTTAGTATTGCTAGGAGATAAACGTCTGGCAAGTGGATGCAGACAGGTTTATGAAGATGTTGAAAAATGTTTGGTGAAGTTAACTTTCATGAGTGATTTATAGCTAGCCGTAGATTCTAAATTTGTGAAGCGAAGTATTCATGCTTTTAAATAAGCACAACAAATACAGGCATTGTCCACAGGCCTCGTCTTCCTAAATACGGCTCTCAAAGTATATAAGATCCAAAGGGACACATAAAAACAGTCCATTATAAGTGCAAATTGGACATGTCAGAAACAACTCAAATTTTCACCCAGATTACGTATACGCATCGTACGCCACTGAAAGGTAAACCATATGGGAAATCTTCCCTCATCGCTGACTCAAGCACGCAAATCAAAGTCTTTTGGCATCTTCTCTTGCATCCAACAACAATCATCAAGTAGCAATCACTTAGTCATATCTCCTCTCGCATTATTCCGCCGAATTTCGACTTCAACTGCTGACATTACTTTCCGCAGTGTTTTATTTTTTGTTTTTGTATTTGTTTATACCTTTGACACAGCAGCAGCCACAACCAGAATGCCTTGAGGGCTGTGCCTCAACTTTGACATTCCCCTGTCGTTTTTTATGCGTCGCCTTTTATTGCGTGCCACTACTTTAATATTTTTTGCCTTCAGTTCGATTTGCCTCACAGCAATCGATGAAGGAGTTCTTAATGGGTTCGTTGTACCCTCACATACGCACACACACATGGCTGGGCAAATGTGTGGTTGGCACTCTCTGTAGCCGCTGCCTGCCTTTAATGTATTTCAATTATTTTTATTGGCTTATCATAAATAATAATGCCCCCTGGCCTTGGCTTCCTTATTTTTCCTGCTACTGCTCATGCACCGCCTGCTTCACTCTTCATGTTTCACTTACCTTGCGCCCTTGCTTTGGCCAGGGCTGGAACACATGTTGAGCCTTGTTTTTGGCATTGCCGCTTATTGAAAAACTTTGGCAAGTCGTTGCGTGGCTCGCTTCGTCTTGTTTAAGAAAACTTTCCGTTAAGTGGCAGCAACTTTTTGGTCTTTTTGCATATTTTATTGTGCTGGTAAAACTTTATAGAGTTCATTATTTGTAGCAAGTGCGCGTTAATTATTCGTGCATTTGGCACTAAGAATAATTGAATTGTCTTTTGGCTATTCCTGTTGCTAGCAATGACTCAACTGGGAGTTTTCATATTTAAAAAACCCTAAAATTTTTTCAACATGAACTTAGTTCATTCACCTCAATACTTTTCATAATAATGCGTTGTTAAGGAAATCTTAAGTAATGTGCAGCAATTAATCTTTACACAGAGCTGAGTAAATCAACTACTATAAGCTCGCCTTGTCTGTGGGTGTCATCGTTAATCAAAGCATCAGACTTCACTCAAATACCTCCCAATGTTTTAGCCAGCTGTTTATTCATCTCTGAAGCCACTCCCACAAGCCATTATTCATTCATTGCAATTTGGCACATTTCCCCATGGTGCTGCCACATTTAACACGCCGCATTGCATTCGCGACTCTATTACACGACTTTCTCGCAATTTTAATTATCGCGCCATCGTAATCATCATCATTGTTTTTGTTGCTGTTCTTGTAATTGTTGCAGCTACTACAACTGTTGCAAACGGCACCGCAAATGCAATTTCCGTGCAAAATATTTGCACAAAGGCACAAAAACTTTCTCCTCATACAATGCGCTATTTCGAGTTCCTTCTCTCTCTCTCTCTATTCTTATTTTTTTTCTCTCTCTATCTCTATTTCACTCTCTCTATCTCTCTCTCTCTCTCCCTTTCTTTTCTCTGTAGTTTGTGTGCAGCAAATAGAGAAATAGAAAATATATGACTAGAAGAAAAGGCAAAAGTTTCCTCGTGGCACGAAAAGTATTGAGCTATGCAGCAGACGCCTCTCCCACTTCATTAAATTTTTCCTCTCCTCAAACTCCATAGAGCATTTAAAGTTCGGATTAGGGTTTACAACTTTTAACAGTTGCTTTTCCAGTCGCTTCTCCCACTGCATACTTTGCGGCGTTTTGCGCACTTTGTAAATAAGTTAAAAGTATTTGAAAAAAGTAAAATGAGAAAAAATTGTTGGATGC